TGTAACAAAGTGCTTGCATAAAAGAAAAAATATGTGGATATGTTACCAGTAGGATCTTGCAAGGATCTGTGCTTGCCAAGCGATTGTTATTTATGTAAGTTACTTGTCAGAGGGAATAGGAGTCTGTACAACCATGTTTGTGGCTAATCCTATGAACAATAACGCAAATGATTGTAAATTCCTACAAGAAGACTTTAATCAGTTGAGCAAAATGAGATAAGTGTGTGACAGAATTGGGGAAAAGTGAAAACAGGCAACATGGAAATTATAGACTGTGGCAAAATACTAAGTCTTAGAAGGAGATTTAGAAAGTGATTATGGACAAAAAATTGTTGCTGAAAGATATAAATATATTTGGAAGAGATTTGTAGGCTTCACAGCAAGATATTAAAATAATGTTTAGATACTGTATGTTGATGGTGACATGTTGAAAACAAAATACAAAGTTCGCTAGGTCAAAATTGGAATGTACAGCAGTTAGCCTTACCTCAATTGTAGGTAAATTGCTAGTCAATTATAGCCGAGATTATAAGAAGCCATCTGGATAAGCATAATCTGATTAGTGATACTCAGCATGGATTCACGAGAGGCCGTTCTTGTCTGACTAATTTATTAACTTTCTTCAGTAAAGCTTTTGAGGCTGTTGATCACGATAAAGAATTTGATATTATTTACTTAGATTTTAGTAAGGCTTTTGATAGAGTTCTGCACCAAAGACTGTTAAAAAAAGTGGCAGCTCATGGCATCCAGGGGAAAAGTGCTCTCATGGATTGAGTCATGGCTCACAGACAGGAAGCAGTGTGTGTCCATAAATGGGGTTAAATTCGAGTGGGGATCTGTAACAAGTGGCGTACCACAGGGATCAGTCTTAGGCCCATTGTTGTTTATAATATATATCAATGACCTTGATGAGGGTATTACTAGTGATATGAGCAAATTCGCCGATGACACAAAGATAGGTAGGATAATTGATTCAAACTTAGATGTTAGGGAACTTCAGGAAGATTTAGACAATCTCTATTCTTGGTCAGAAAAGTGGCAGATGCAGTTCAATGTAGATAAATGCAAGGTTCTGAAGCTCGGGAGTGTCCATAACCCTAGCACTTGTAAGTTAAATAATGTAGAACTTAGCCATACAGATTGCGAAAAGGACTTTGGGGTTATGGTGAGCAGCAACCTTAAACCAAGACAGCAGTGCCTAAGCGTACGTAATAAAGCAAATAGATTATTGGGATTTATATCAAGAAGTGTAAGCAACAGAAGTCCAGAGGTTATGCTGCAGCTTTATACATCATTAGTAATGCCTCACCTAGATTATGCAGCTCAGTTCTGGTCTCCATATTATAGAATGGATATAAATTCGTTAGAAAACATTCAGCGTAGAATGACTGAATTAATACATAGCATTAGAAATCTTCCTTATGAAGAAAGATTGAAGACTCTTAAATTACATTCACTTGTTAGACAAAGACTGAGGGGACACATGATCGAAGTGTATAAGTGGAAGATGGGTATTAATAAAGAGGATATTAATAAGGTCTTGAGGATATCTCTCCAAGAGAGAACCCGCAGTAATGGATTTAAATTAGACAAGTTTAGATTTAGAAAGGACATAGGAAAGTATTGGTTTGGAAATAGGGTAGTTGATGAATGGAACAGTCTACCTAGTTGGGTTATTGAGGCTAGGACTTTGGGTAGTTTCAAATTTAGGTTGGATAAATATATGAGTGAGAGGGGTTGGATTTGAGTGGGACTTGCAAATGAGTGGATAGAGTTATCAGAACTTATTTCTTGGGTAGCATTGAAAATTAGGTTGGGCAAATGTTTTGTTAGTGGGATGGATTGTAAAGGACCTGCCTAGTATGGGCCAACAGACCTGCTGCAGTGATCCTCCTTTCTTATGTTCTTATGTCAGTAACTAAAATATGTGACCAAAGATAGGTAAAAAAAATAGGTGAAGTCCAAAAACAAAAAAAAAAAAAACTTAAAGGGTCTCGGTAGCCTTTAAGGCATGATCACGTACAAAATTATAAAAGAATTTGAGAGAATTAAAATGTTTTCTTTGCATCACTAACAGTTTTAAATTGAGGGAAAAAGAGACCAAAAAAGAATAGAATGGGATACGAGAGGTAAATGCTACAACCCTGGAAAATTATAGAATAAAAACTGAAACAGGACAAAACAATAATAGTTGTTCACCTGTACATAAAAATAATCACAAATTTCTGTCAAGGCACTGAAGGGTAGATTCGAACTCTGGCATCCGTTATGGAAGTCCGTCATGTTACCTTCCCCATGGACAGGGGAGCATTGAAAGGGATTCGAACCCAGACAACCAACACAAAAATTATGTACTGTAACATTTAAAAAAAAAAAAAAATGAAATTTCTTATTGGGTAGAAACTATTTGAGAAGCTTTTGCTACATAAACTTACCTAAGTCTACATAAACGCCATGCAATAATGCATACTGTATGTAAAGACAGCAGAATAACGGGTTGAGGTGGTAATTATATTTTCTGAGTTACTTGTATAAATGTTGGCTCAGTCTGAAAAAAGGGCCTTGTTTGGCTCTGGCTGATGCTTCCGTTTTACTATTGTTTTTCTTTAATAATGATTTCTGCCTTGTTCCAATCCACTGCATGAGAAAATAGGTGGGAATGACTACATGTAAATTAGATTGCAGTGTTCAGTCTTTTTTTTAACACCCATTGTGGTGCTTAACTAATGTTGAGCTTCAAACGAATTCTTGGCAATGGATTTAGTGGCTTTGCAAATAATAATAAAACTAGAAGACATGTCATTAGGAATGTTTTGGCATTGGCTTCTTGTTGTTGATTCGCCGGTACTTCGACCCGGGTCTTCTCCAGATGGTGACCCGGCGTTGGCATTGGCATATCTGTAAAATGAAATATTTAATATTTAGTTCTTCTCCTTTCTGACGATTCTCAAGGCTGTCATCATACAGTTGATCGAGACATGTCTGTAGTATTTTAAGATGGTAAATTAATTCATTGTAAATTTAAACTCTTCAAGAAATTTGGAGGAGCCGCCTGCAAATACAAATTACTTTTTAAAATTCATATGACTACACCCCATTTTTGTCTCAGTTTCATAATTAGACTAGCAAGGTACTGTATAATTTATATTTTGAATGACGGTTTTCGGTAGATTCTATACTGTGAAAGTATGTTGTAGCACTAGCGATTTCAGGTCTATTTTGGCAAGGATTACATCAGTATACCCAGTACCACTAACAGGTACAATATTGTTGAAATGAGAATCCTCTAATAACTTCACTAACAGGTTTGTCATCACCATTCTAAGTTGTAAACTCATAACCATGCAGAATTTCAGTTTGGTAAGACACATAGGCAACAGTTAGGCATCTTTAATCTGAAACATTTCGCCTACACAGTAGGCTTCTTCAGTAGAGTACAGAAAGTAGGCAGGAGCAGTAGAGATGTGAAGACAATGTATTAAAGCAGGCACTGGACAAGCACCTAAAGTCGGTACCTGACCAGCCGGGCTGTGGCTCGTATGTTGGATTGCGTGCAGCCAGCAGTAACAGCCTGGTTGATCAGGCTCTGATCCACCAGGCTGCCTGGTCACAGACCGGGCCATGGGGGAATTGACCCCTGAAACTCTCTCCAGGTAAAACTCCAGTCTATCACCCTTGAAGTCGAAGAATTGAGGTTGTCAGTCCCTCAGCCTGGAGAAGCGTTCTGTTCCATACTCTGAAACTATGTACTTTTGAGTACTTTCTGTACTCGACTGAAGAAGCCTACTGTGTAGGCAAAACGTTTCGGATTAAAACTGCCTAAATGTTGCCTGTGTGTCTTACTTACCAACCTGTCGGTATTATATACCACTTTGATATTCAGAATTTCAGTTTATAGGTCAATTTTTTACAGAAAGGAATTTTGGTGCACACATAAGCCAATGGCGTTTATACAGTGAGTGCAGGTTAAACCGAGAATGAAATTCGTTAAATTATGTATGTACTGTAAATCATTCCAGAGTAACATTGAGCTCTATAAATAGAAATTTGTCACTGTTATATGCTTACTACTTAGCAGTTTGCTGCTGCTTGTTCATGTAATTTTTGGATGATTGTGCTTTCAGAAAAATAACTAATAGAGATATAACCTGCTAGGGCACATTTATGAAACCATCTCACCCAGACATTACCTTGAATGCGAGACAGACTTGACAATGAAGACACTATTTTGTTTACATTGGAGATTGAACCGCGAACGGCTTTCCCTACTAGATACAGTATCGTTTTAAAGATGATACAGTTGTCTTCAAAGTGAAAAAGAAAAAGTCCTAGTTCATTAATTTTCTAATAACTATTCCAAAACTGTTAACCCTTAAGATTTCTACACTGGAGTTGAATAGAAAATTGTGAACATTATAATAGGCTATAGAGATTGCCTAATATTTGTGAAATTTTCTTTAAATTTGTCAGTAGAAGTAAATATATCATCCCTTTGCATACATAACAATATGAAAAGAAACCAGCAATAAAGCTTACATTTGGATCTTTATTGCTGTATGACTCTTGTAGACTTAGCTCTTCTTTTTTTGTTATAATAATAATAATGGATCTTTATCATCATGCTTTGGATTGGGACAAATTGGCAATCTTCAGAGTAAAAGTTTAAAACTGGAAAGTTTAGAAACTGCAGCAATTTCAATTGTCCAGAATGCATCACCTCTGACCTCAGTTGTGGCGGGGAAGGTTATCAATACGTGCAAATGACCTTCCATTTAAAAACGTGATCCACAGAGTATTGTAATTCCCCTTTCTATTCATCATTACTTTGTGAGATATAAGATAGTTCTTGTGGTTCCTTTTGTAATTGAAAGAAAGCTTATGTAGCAAAGCATCATCTCCAAGATACCCTACCATGTTTTACACATTTGCTCTTGTTACTGTACTATAATAGTGTTGGTACGTAAGCACATGATTAATCAATTTTCTTCATGCTTGTCTAGTTCAACTGGCATGCTATTCCAAGCAAAGAGCGTGCACGCCACCAGCACCCAGCCGAGCCTGTTAGATCACCCACCATGGCCGGTGGACTGTTCTCCATCGACAAAGCTTTCTTTGAAAGACTGGGTACATATGACTCTGGGTTTGATATCTGGGGAGGAGAGAACCTAGAGCTGTCATTCAAGGTGAGTTTTTTTTTCTTTATCAAATGAGCTCTGGATAAAATGTGTACACTTAATGCATTATACAGTTTTTGAAGCACTAAGTTGGCTTCAGACGAGTGTGTTAATGTTCTTAACCTAAAATTGTTTGCTTTTAAAACTTGTATGCTTAAATAAATATATTGAATTAACGAAGGAAACATTAAAATAGATCATAGTACAGGTACCATCCGACTTATGACCAAGCTTGGTTCTGACCAACTGGTCATAAGTCAAAATCAAATCAAAGTTTTATTCTCTATAAGGATTACAATGCAGGGTTTACAGATTTTGGTTATTGTGTTGTTTACATGTAGTAAAATACTAATTACAGAGGGGGCCACTAGAACACCTAGCATGGCTAGGCATTTTGGGCAAACTTAGATTAATTCCTAACCCTAAATTATAACAAATTGTGGAGTAAGTTGACTAAATACTAAGTGACTAAATACTAAGTGACAAATACTAGTTTGTGAGCTTAGCAATGTGAATGCTTTTGTTTTGGCACAATACATAGTTTCTATATTGGAGTATCACAGGCAAACTTATGACTAGTTTGGAATCATTATTTTAAGATTAGGATATGTATTTCTGTGCTTATAGTCAAATGGGTGAGTGAGTGAGCGAGTGAGTAAATGTGGACCACCAGGTGGTTTTTATGTAAGTTGATGGGAGTGTATCAGGGAGATAAGATGTTTTCTAACAGTAGTTTTGAAGGTGATAAATGTGTCTGCTGTTCTAGAGTTTTCAGGTAGTGTGTTCCAGATTTTAGGGCCTTTGACATACATTGAGTTTTTGTAAAGGTTTAGTTGGAGATGGGGAATGTCGTAGAGATGTTTGTGTCTGGTGTTATGCCTGTGGGTCCTGTCACTACTATCAAGAAAGCATTTTAGGTCAAGGTTAATATTGGAATTTAAGGTCCTGTATATGTAGATTGCACAGTAGTAAGTGTGGATGTTCTGAACAGGGAGTAAGTTTAGATCTATGAAGAGTGGGGGGGTGTGTTGCCAGGGATGGGAATTAGTGATTATTCTTATTGCAGCTTTTTGCTGAGTTATTATTGGCTTCAGGTGCATTGCTGCAGTTGATCCCCAAGCACAAATAGCATAGGTGAGGTATGGATAAATGAGTGAATGGTATAGTGTGAGAAGGGCATTTTGCGGCACGTAGTATCGTATCTTGGAGAGGATCCCAACTGTTTTAGATACTTTTTTTGGTATGTGTTGGATATGGGTGCTGAAATTCAGGTTGTTGTCGAGGTATAGGCCTAGGAATTTGCCCTCATTATGTCTGGCAATTAGAGTGCTGTCGATCTTAATGTTAAGTTGCGCAGCACCTGCTCTTCTACCAAACATAATGTAGTAGGTTTTGTCAGTGTTAAGTGTAAGTTTGTTGGCTGTCATCCAAGTTGATATTTTGAGCAGCTCCTCATTAACAATGGTGTTGAGGGTGGCAGGATTAGGGTGAGATGACATAAGTCGTGTCGTCAGCAAAGAGAATGGGTTTCAGGTGTTGGGATACGTTTGGAAGATCATTGATGTAAATGAGGAAGAGCGGGGGTCCAAGGACACTTCCCTGCAGAACTCCAGTATCAAGTGGCCGTGTTGATGATGCTGTGTCTTTAATGGTGACATACTGAGGTAGGATTTGAAATATGCAAGCGCATGGCCTCTTATACCATAATGGTCAAGTTTGTGGAGTAGGATGCCGTGGTCTACTGTGTCAAAAGCTTTTCTCAGGTCAATAAAAATTCCTAGCGGATATTCCTTATTTTCCAATGCTATGTAAAGCAGATCTAGCATTTTTACAATTGCATCATTAGTGCTTTTATTTTTCCTGAATCCAAATTGGCAGGGGTTGAGTATGTTTTGTACCGCTATAAATGAATACAGTCTTCTGTGCACGAGTTTCTCGAAGATTTTGGATAGTAATGGTAAGTTTGATATTGGCATATAGTTGTTTACATCTGTAGGGTCACCACCTTTATGTAAAATGAATGTAAGTCAAACCTTACTATTGAATATGAACATCACACTTTTGTAATGATTTTATTTTATTATTTTATCTTGGTATTTCATTTTTTACTTTACTTTTTATGCTGTTTGTACTGTATTTCATACCGTAAGGTTTAGGATAAACACTGTACAACACAAACAGTTGTTCATTTCCCAGAAATTTGGCATAAAAACCATGGTTCGCAAGTCGAGTGGTCATATGTCGAGCAGGTCGTAAGTCGGATGGTAGGTGTACATAAATATTAAACAGACATAAAAAGTATGGTAAATATAATGGGTGGTGACAAGATCAAATACAGAGCATCAAAAATTTTAGTTATTTACTGAACTCTATAGTCTTTCCTAATACCTTAGTCATTGAATTACATTTTTAATATTAATCATCTACTCACTAGACTTGGATGTGCGGAGGTACACTGGAAATTGTACCGTGCTCACACGTTGGCCACATCTTCAGGAAAAGATCTCCATACAAGTGGAGATCAGGCGTTAATGTCTTGAAAAGGAACTCTATTCGTTTAGCGGAAGTCTGGTTGGATGAATACAAGAAATATTACTATGAGAGGATTGGATATGATCTGGTAAGGTTCCATTAATCACCAAATACTGTAATTCTTGGTTTATTAGCATAAAAGAAATTCAGAATCATCAGTTGTCAAAATGCTTGGTAGTATGTAGTAATTTTGGTTTACATAGACATTACATCAGCAAGCTGTTACTGATTATTTAATACAATTCTGTGATAGGGCTTAAAAAAAAAAACAGCTGCTCTTATTTTCCTGATCTGGGCAGCCTTACACTTACTTGTAAAATTAAGTCATCAGCGATTTTTTCAGAGCATCTTACATAAACACAAATATTCGTGGCATTTTCAAAAGATTTCCTTTATTATTACTGTTACGTTAGTATATCTTATTACTTTCATAGTAAGGTTCTCACTATATGTTCTAGTGTGGGGTAGCTTTTTATTTAATGGCCTTATCTGTCTAGGGTAATACATGTACATACATTATGACTGATCATCCACAGTGTGTCTGATATCCTTCCACCAGCCCTCTTCACAGGTTATTTAAACTACTACTATAAAAATATAACTGTATTCTAAATAGATATGTACAGAATATACAATTACAGCACTCACATATTCAAAACATAAGTCTATACACTCCTTAGCTGTTCTTCCACATGGTGCATTTCAGCAACTTTGCCCTTCTCTCTTCACCTGGAGTTTACCTGGAGAGTGTTCCGGGGGTCAACGCCCCCGCGGCCCGGTCTGTGACCAGGCCTCCTGGTGGATCAGAGCCTGATCAACCAGGCTGTTACTGCTGGCTGCACGCAAACCAACGTACGAGCCACAGCCCGGCTGGTCAGGAACCGACTTTAGGTGCTTGTCCAGTGCCAGCTTGAAGACTGCCAGGGGTCTGTTGGTAATCCCCCTTATGTATGCTGGGAGGCAGTTGAACAGTCTCAGGCCCCTGACACTTATTGTATGGTCTCTTAATGTGCTAGTGACACCCCTGCTTTTCATTGGGGGGATGTTGCATCGTCTGCCAAGTCTTTTGCTTTCGTAGTGAGTGATTTTCGTGTGCAAGTTCGGTACTAGTCCCTCTAGGATTTTCCAGGTGTATATAATCATGTATCTCTCCCGCCTGCGTTCCAGGGAATACAGGTTTAGGAACCTCAAGCGCTCCCAGTAATTGAGGTGTTTTATCTCCGTTATGCGCACCGTGAAGGCTCTCTGTACATTTTCTAGGTCAGCAATTTCACCTGCCTTGAAAGGTGCTGTTAGTGTGCAGCAATATTCCAGCCTAGATAGAACAAGTGACCTGAAAAGTGTCATCATGGGCTTGGCCTCCCTAGTTTTGAAGGTTCTCATTATCCATCCTGTCATTTTTCTAGCAGATGCGATTGATACAATGTTATGGTCCTTGAAGGTGAGATCCTCCGACATGATCACTCCCAGGTCTTTGACGTTGGTGTTTCGCTCTATTTTGTGGCCAGAAGTTGTTTTGTACTCTGATGAAGATTTAATTTCCTCATGTTTACCATATCGGAGTAATTGAAATTTCTCATCGTTGAACTTTATATTGTTTTCTGCAGCCCACTGAAAGATTTGGTTGATATCCGCCTGGAGCCTTGCAGTGTCTGCAATGGAAGACAGTCATGCAGAGTCGGGTGTCATCTGCAAAGGAAGACACGGTGCTGTGGCTGACATCCTTGTTTATGTCAGATATGAGGATGAGGAACAAGATGGGAGCGAGTACTGTGCCTTGTGGAACAGAGCTTTTCACCGTAGCTGCCTCGGACTTTACTCTGTTGGCTACTACTCTGTGTTCTGTTAGTGAGGAAATTATAGATCCATCGACCGAGTTTTCCTGTTATTCCTTTAGCACGCATTTTGTGCGCTATTACGCCATGGTCACACTTGTCGAAGGCTTTTGCAAAGTCTGTATATATTGCATCTGCATTCTTTTTGTCTTCTAGTGCATCTAGGACCTTGTCGTAGTGATCCAATAGTTGAGACAGACAGGAGCGACCTGTTCTAAACCCATGTTGCCCTGGGTTGTGTTAACTGATGGGTTTCTAGATGACTAATCTCTGGGCTAACCAGTGTTTTGACACACTTTAGTCACCCTGGGTATGGTGGCCACAACTTAAGCTATAAAAACTCACCCCTGGAGCACACACAATGCCCAAAAGAAATAGAAGGACCCAGAGGTCCTGCCAGCTTGAAGTCCACGAACAGAGAGAGAGAGAGAGGGACGGGCCTAGCTAAGCTCCTCCCACACCCACCAAAAACAAAAGACTGTTGCCAAGCACAATTCTCCAGTTACCACAATTCTTCCACACCTTAATTTTACTTTTACAAAAAGAATTACAACTTTATAAACTACTTATTTAAATTGTGTGTTTGTGTGTGTATAGTATAACCTATTATATTGAGAAAAACAGGCTTAACTCAGCTGCCTTACAGCCATAAGAGTAATCTACCCTTATGACATTTAGAGCTGAGTCCCCATCAATTCAATATAATTAGGTATCCCAGAGTAACTTACAGATACATAAATACATGTTGGGTCCCATAGCCCCATAACAATTACCAACAGTTTCTCACATGAAAATTCGTGTGTGTTTGGCCAAAACGTTGTGGTTATAATGGTATCAACTGCATCAAAATGTCATCAACTCATCTTGTCAGTATTTTCATATTTTCTCTAGTTTTTCCTATAATCAAAGGCATATTCCAGGGAGACTTTGGCAATGTAAGTGAGAGGAAGAAGTTGCGTGAGAGTCTAGGCTGCAAGTCCTTCGAGTGGTATCTGGAGAACGTGTACCCAGAGCTCTTCGTTCCAGGTGACGCAGTTGCTTCTGGAGAGGTAAGTCTTAGGTTCAAGTCTTTCTCTGGAAATAACTTAATTAAAAAAAAAAAAAGCTATTTTCTTCAGAAATAGTGAAAAAATTATTTACTGACGAATTTAGAACTAAGATTAATCGATAATTTGTTCTCTTGTCAACAATGCTCAACACAGCATCATTATTTATAAAATAATTAAAAACAATTTCATAAATTTTAAAATGTGCTGCACTAATAGATTGATAAATGAATGATAAAATTGATATTAATTTTAGTGTGATGGAAATAGTTGAATTAGGACATGCACAAAAAAAGTTAACATTAAGAGATGTAATAAAGAAACTATTGTAGAACATAAATAATATTGTAGTTAGATCCTTTACATTGATGCGAATCTGAGTATGGTTGAGAAATTTCCACGGAATGCTGGTGAAGGGCTCTTGTTCCAAGGTGCCTTATGCTGGTGAAGGGCTCTTGTTCCGAGGTGCCTTGATGCTGGTAAAGGGTTCTTGTTCCAAGGTGTCTTGATACTGGTAAAGAGCTCTTGTTCCAAGGTGCCTTGATGCTGGTGAAGGGCTCTTGTTCCAAGGTGCCTTGATGCTGGTGAAGGGCTCTTGTTCCGAGGTGCCTTGATGCTGGTGAAGGGCTCTTGTTTCAAGGTGCCTTAATGCTGGTGAAGGGCTTTTGTTCCAAGGAATACCAGTTACCCTTTCCACATATCAACCATGACTTTTTTGATTTCCAAGAGCTATATAACCCTTACGGGTTAGGTGCTATCCAAAGACTATAGTGTACACAGAAATGGGATAGCATAGCATTCTATTTTAAAACTGGCTTTAAACTATATCAATAAGAAGAAACTGCATTCATCATTCACATAATAATATAGTAATAAAAATAATAATTTCATTTTTAAAAGTACATAATTATTACAATGATAAGTTAACTGTCATGTACTGGTTTAAACAGAAAACAAGATACACGTAACATTTTGGGCAAAGCTATAAAGCTGCTAAATGATTAGAATTTTCTCAGTAAATACCCTAAACAGCATACTGTATCTTAATTTCAGAAAGACTATTGTGTTAAGAGTTTCAGGTACAGTAGAAATGAAGGAACTATGGCAGTATTGTGATTGAATCTGTTACTACTTAGACTGGTAGAACCACAGGAACCAGTCTTGATTCTACGAAAAAGAATGGAGGGGGTTATGTGGGTTTCAAGGTATAGGCAAGTCATTATATATGATTTTTGGTTTCTTAAAACAAATATAGGTTGTACTTCTGCTGGAATAATTTTCGCTTCTCCAGAAATTGTGTTTTACACTCTAATCAAGTTCACAGCCTTCATTTACACCTTCAAAAAATATTTCAAGGCAGGTGACATTGGGTGATATTCCTGCCAATTTAGTATTCTTGATATTTTAATGGCAGCAGGTCCACTTAATGTTTAATAAAAAAAAAATAATAATAAAAAAAGTGAAATGATTTGCTTAAGATTAAATATAACTAGCTAATGAATGTGTTTGAGCATTGTTGCACAATTTTTGAAAGGGAATTTGCAATTTGCTTTTATGTCAGTTTTTATTACATAAAGAATTAAGATGTAGTTTTTATCTTGTAAATACTCCAGTTGCATATTTGTAATTTTGAGGTACACGTGTAGTTCTGACTGACTTATTTTGCGGCAACGACATCATAGAATACTAGTGGTAAATCTTTGCTTGAAATGATTTTTGTTGTAATAAGATGTACTGAAAATGCTAAAATTCCAGCTCTTCATTTCGATATGTATTTATACTAACAGTAAAAAACAAACTATAATATTATATTTTGATATCTGCATTCATAATCACTTAGTCAATGGGATTCAAACTAGATGGTGACAGAAATTAAGTGAGATAGGAGGGCTGTCTATTTCAGTCTCACACTGAAACTTGCCTACAGAAGAGGGTCCCATTTGTACACTGAAATGTAGTTATACTCTATACTCTGACTTAATTTTTGTCCCCATTTGGAGCCGGATCACATATTACATGTGAAGTTATAACTTCACTCCTATATATTACACTTCCAGCTCTCGCCATACATAACTGACCCATTTTTTCCTTTCTTGATATAATCCTTGTTTATTCATAATTAAATGATATGGAGCATCTTTTCTAGTATTAAAAGCATTGGAAATATTTTGATTTATTCCTAATATATGAGTAAAACTGTTGTATTCGTGATGTATATAGTGCCTAAATTTTTCTACTTAAATTTTCTTGAAAGGTTGTAAAGTTATTTCTTTTACTGACACTTTCATTTTCACAGATAGTTGAATTCAAGTACAGTAATCAGAATATTTAGTCAGAACTTGGTGATCTGGTACCAAACATAATTCACATACACTTATTTATTCACTGGCAGGGTTTACTCATCAGTTAACTTCAGTCACTACACAATTCATTAATTTCAGCTCTCCTGCTTTGTTCCCTATTTGGTTTAGTACTACAAGCTCTCTTGTTTCCAAGTTTGCTGTCTTTGCGGTTTAGAACCATAGCCTTTCCTTGTTCCTATTTAGTTCTTTCTGAACGAATCTCTCTTGGTCATCTCCCCTTATTGTTTGAAGCTCAGGAGGTAATTTATCATAGTTTAAGTGATTAGATGGTATAGTTCACTCTCTCACAGAGCTCCAGATATAAACGGATTCACATAATTACATTTCATGTATATTCACTTTCCCTTGTCTGACTTGAACATGGGGTATGGTTCCCTTGTCTGTTTAGTAATCCTGTGTCTACTGAGTAGTAGTGCTCGGGTCACAGCTGAAAGAACCCAGGCTCACTAATAAGTATTATTAATAAGTATTATTCCTGTTGTCCTTGTTCATCAAGCAGCAAATAGGTACCTACTTTTAGCAGATTATGAGTTGTGCCCTAGGGAAATGGGGCTTTTAAGTGACATTAAGTAGGATAATCGATATATAGTAGTCAGTGTCCAATAAAGGGCAATGTATATAATCCAATAAATATTTAACTAACTGAGAGAGAATACAGAATATAATCTGGTTAATTCATTTCTGCTCCTCTCTTCCTCATGGGTTCAACATGTTCCCTGTGAGAAAAAAAAATCCTCATGCTTTCCTCCATATATCTAAAGAAAAATGTCTCCCAGACAAAGTTATTTCTAGAATTTTTATTTAGAATGCAAACAGTTGATATCTTTTATACACCAATGAGTATCTTTACATCTATATGTATATTCCATCGTTAGCTTATTGCCAAAAATGGTAAGCATAGTATGGACGTTGTTAAATTATTATTATACTATTAACAGTTTGTACCTGTGTGTCATACCACTGATGGCAATTTTTTTTTTTTTTTTAAATAAATGCTTCATTTGATTTTCATTTGACTTGTTTCTTGTATAATATTTATGGTGGGCCTGTTATTACTATTTTGCTCCTGTTTGGGTTTTCTGTTTTCTGTTATTCTCTTGCTTTTCATTTTCAGGTGTTCATTTATGCTTTGCAGCAACTTCAATCTTATCAAGACCAATGTTTATTTGCTAATGTTTTTAAACTACTATTGTTTGTGATACAATAACAAAGGTCGTGTGACCATACAGGGATGTGCAGTCTGTCTTCCCTTCCTTGTTCTGTATAATTTTAATCAACCTGTTATTACAGTCCATCAAGTTTGTATCACAAGCTTTTCCATTTACAGGCCATTGCTGGTGTTTGATTAAAAATCAGTATTGTATAGGGGCTCTTCTAAGTTATTATTATGCCCCTAAATATCAGGGATAGTGCTCTGCAGTTCAGGGCCTTATCTGTTTACTTTCCTTCTGAGGCAGTCACTTTTGAATGGTAAAAGTTCTTCAGGTTAATCCTTCCTGTTCTGTTGATCAAGAAACCTGAATGCATTTGAAATACCACAGCCATGCAAGAACTCAGATGTCTGAGTACTTAAGTTTTGGGAAGAACCAAAGCCCAAAGATTGTCCTCTGTCCAGGATGAGATAGTAGACAGCCAGTATGGGTGATATGAAAGGAGAGGTTATATCCAATTCCTTAGATCAAAAGCCTTCATCTGCATCAAAGAACTTCTTTGAAGGGATTAAGAGCATAGATAATAGGGCAGAACTAAGTTGCTCTTGCTTCTTGTGACAGCACATCTGTAAATTTTGCAGTGGAACCTCGGTTTTTGTGATTAATCCATTTAAAAAAGTCCAACGAAAACCAAATCATACGAAAACTGAAGCAATATTTCCAATGAGAAATAATGTAAATCCAATTAATCTGTCCCAGACACCCAAAAATATTAACAAAAAAAAGAAAAAACATTTTACAGAGAATAACTATGGTTTTACATACAGAAAACAATGAGAAATGTAAATGACTAATGAAATGGATAAATGAACATTTAACATCACTTTTAACTTTATTGAAGACACTTGTTAGCATATGGAAGATGGCAAGGAGGGGAGAGGGAGGAGGAGAGGTTATTGTTTGGAAGGGAAATCCCCCTTCATAAAGAATTCAGGTATCAAGGCCCTATCCGGGGTTACTTCCCTTCTTTTTCTTTAACTGGCACTAGGACCAGCTTGAGTCACTGGACCCTTGTCGCACAAAAAAATCTGTCCAAAGAGTCTGTTTCTGGCATCTCTAAGATTTGCCTAAAATGGGACAAGGCATTGTAATTGCCATTGTGTCCTGGCAGTGCCTTTTCCTCCTGTGTGATATAGGTCCTCTTTGGCCTCTTCTTCCAAAAGAGGCCTGTGTCATCACAATTGAAGACTTATTGGGGGAGGAATCCTTCAGCCTCTGTGTACTCCATGAATTCATCAACAAATTCTTCGGCACCACGTTTCTCTGAACTTTCAGCCTCGCCATGCCTTACCACACTGTGTACTCCAGTTCGCTTCTTGAAATTGTTGAACCAGCCTTTGCTGGCCTTAAATTCACTAACAGCAGCACTCATTCCAGGCATTTTCTTTGCGAGATCCGCCTGCAACTGCCTTGCCTTTTGGCAAATTAT